TGGTGTGGGGCACAAGCGCAAGGCACTACCCACAGCACTGTGGGCTCAGTCATGGTCTTCAAGATGAGGATGTTGTTCAGATTGTCAAGAAAAAGGTACTTTTTGTAGCCCTTTCCATTTTATTTGCTCCTGGTAGACACTGTTACAGACTTTTTACATGAGATCTTTTTTTATTTTGTTTTATTTTATTTAAAGTTTTGTATGTACATAACTTCTTTGTGATAATAAAAATGTCACGTAAGAATTTATATTATAATAATTAAAATTTACAATCTCTCTAACTTATATAAGTAAGTTAGTATGCTGGAGCTGCTCCTCGTATATATATATCGAACCTTTCTATTGCTTATAAAACAGATTTAATCTAAAACCCTTGCAAGTGAAAAGAATGAAAAAAAAAATATATATATTGTTTCCTTTTTTTTAGGAGAGAGAAGATGGAGGTAGGGGGCGATTTAAATCACACTCAAATGCACCTGCTCGAATTTCTGACAGAGAAAAGAAAGCTCCTTTGAAGACGTAAATGTGACGGTGCTTAACCTTGATCAAGAAGACAGAGTAGAGAAAGTTGCGCTTTGCCATTGGTCTTCGATTATATTCTGGTCGGGAAACTAACTAGTAAGTGGGAAACAAGGGTTCAATATTTTTAGATGGTCTTCACTTATTGAAAATTTTAGTTATTCGTCTGTGTATTGTGGACGTAATGAAACGAGATGGGTGCAAAGATTTTATTGCTATTTTGCTCCGACTGCGATCCTTTGGATCACTAGAGATTCGAGTGGAAGGATTTTGGTTCTCACTAGTATTGTGCTATGATTAAATTATGAAGGATGCAGAGGAATACTCTCATTTAATAGTAAAGACATCATCAAGACTACTTTACGCATTTGAAAATGTATTTGGTGCAAACAAAGTAACAGCAGAAGTACTTTTGTTTAATTAATAAAAGTTCAAATGTAGTTTTCTGCAAATAAAGTATCACCAAGAGTGCTCTTGTATAATAATAATCCAATGAAGTTGTAGAATTTGTATTGCCCGTGGGATGCACGAGAAAATAATATTACGATTGTGCTATAAATTAAATATACAAATAAATTAATCAAGATATACCCTTCGTTTTAAATTAAATCGTACTGGACACAGTCCGACCGGATGGATCGAGAATTAATTTGTAATCAGTCTAGTTCACTTGAATAAAATATTTGCTATTGAAGCCGTCAACACCAGTCGGTTGAACTGGTAGGATCGATTTGATTTTCTAAATAAATTTTGCTATATTTAAAATTATTTTAAATAAAATTACATATTTAAATAAAATAGAGATTTATAAATTGTTTATCAATTAATTTAAAATTATTTAGATATTTAAGTAACAAATTTTATCCAAATTTATTGCAAAAAGTACTATATATATGTATATTGAAGCGTATTTTTAAATAAAAAAATTAAATTGCATGATTTTCATAAATTATATTGTATGATTATATTCAAGCGTTTTTATAAATTAAATTGTATGATTTTTAAATAAAAATAAGAAAAAGAAAACTACTATATATGGGCTGCATTAAATGTGAACTATTTTTTTGCTACTAATTTTACTAAATTGGATGCTCTTTATATAAGTATAGATATTATCACGAAAAATGATAAATGGGTCATGTGGGAATTTAACTTGAATTTGAATGGCTTATTTACAAACATACTCTATGATTTGAAAAATATTGCACAGATATATCTCAATTAACTTAGAGCACCCACAATGCAATGGTCTAATTTTGCATATGTGGCATATAAATAGACTTAAGTCCTAAATGACATGGACAAACACAAGTAAAAAAACTCAAAAGCTATTCAATGCAGAAATGAAATACTAGGTCTAGCATACATGCCAACCAATAAAAATGTTCTAATATGTTTTATTTATTAAAAGAAAAATTAAATGAGGAATAAATAATGAGTGCTTGGGTTTGTACTTGGGTCCAAAATAGACCCAAGTGTGGACTTAGTCTCTTTTTTTTATTTCCTCATAAGCTAGACCATGTCCAGCTTTAATTGCATTGGGAGACATTTTTTAATAGACTAGGTCTATTTTCTATGTGGCATAGGATATTTCATTAAGAGACCCAATGCATTGTGGGTGCTCTTAGTTTTCGTAACTAAATGCTCTCTCCCACATTCTTAACTAATTTATCTTAGTTAAAAAATCCATTCATAAACAACTCTCTCTCTCTCTCTCTCTCTCTCTCTCTCTCTCTCTCTCTCTCTCTCTCTCTCTCTCTCTCACACACACACACACACACACACACACAAACACACACTTGTATGAGCGGATGGCAAACGGTGGCGGTAGAAGAGGATGGCGAACGACGGCGGCAGGAACGGACGTCGGGCTCCAGGTCGTCGGAGAGATTGGTGGAGGGACCGGGGTAATCGATCTGGTGGAAGTAGGACTTGAGCCTGTTCAGACCATCGAGTTTCTCGCCTTTCTTGGAGCCGACGAGTTTAGCGAAGGATGGAGTAAGGGATTGTGGTGATTTTGGGTAGAAATTGGTGGCAGCGGGACACATAAATGTTATGTAAACAAAAACGCAATATATAATGAAAGTACACTGACTATAAAAACAATTATACTGATATTATTCTAATGTCCGTCTTGCATAACATTTTGACGCTCTTCGTTAAGCTTAACGTCTTTATAATTTCGACCTGGTCGGTTTTGTCATTCATTTTTCTTTTAGCCGGATAAATGTTATGTAAATAAAAACGCAACACATACTGAAATATACTAATTATAAAATATATATTGAAAGTATTCTAATGTATATCTTGCACAAGATTTTGACGCTTGTGGTTAGGTCCTGACATTTTTTCTTATACTTGCAAATTTGGTTGGTTTTGTCATTTTTTTCAGTTGGCTCATTACTTTCGAGAACATCTTTGTCAATTTCCATATCGTCCATGTCAAAATAATCTTCTTTAACAAAGTGGTATGTAAATAAAAACACAACATATACTGAAAATATTGTTATGTAATTGAGTTTCATTAATTAATGGGTCCCACTATTAATTGTAATTTAATGAACAATTTGGCAAAGAAAGCTCAATCATGTGTGGAGATTCTTATTCCAATTGGGAAGATGACAACTTGCCTTTTGCTTTATTAATTGAACTGCCAATTGGACTGCCAGGCATTTTCTACAGAATGGCAAGGCATTATCTGCTGGCATGACACTATAAATTGGCACTCGGCCAGACGAAGAAAAACACACCAAAGAAGAAGAGAAAAATAGAGGAAAGAAAGAGAAAGGAAAGAAATGATAGATTTATGTCCAAATATCGGATATAAGAATATCAAAAGAGAGAAACAAGTGATATTTTTATTTGTTTTAAGATATCCCTTTTATTTTTAAGTGTTCAATTCTCGATTCTGTTCTCGTTCGCCGGAGCTCGTAAATCTGGTGTGCTACAAATTTAGAGACGCTTGTTGTTGTATCTTTGGGGAAGTTACGCCTGAACCATTAGCTAACACACGAGGCGTATTCTTCTTGCGGAAAGAGTTTTACTCGCCTCGGCTAAAATCTTTCCGTTTTTCAGTTGTATTTTATTTTTCAGTTCAATTGTAATTTTCTATTTTTAGATTATTTGTAAGAACTGAAAATACACATCAGTTCGTAGGATTCCCGTGTAATTTTACACCAAATCTCCAACAATCGCAAGAAGAATAATATCGTCAACCTACTGAACTGATGGCATCCACCGGATCAGGTTCCAGCTCTCAGAAGCCGAATCATATGGCGAAAGAATGCAAGAAGCCAAAGAAGGTTGTACCAATGAAAGGTAAACAGAGTGCCCTTGTGGCTGAAAACGGCCTTG